ATGGTGATGGTGGTGGTGGTGGTGATGATGGTGATGGTGGTGGTGGTGGTGATGATGGTGGTGGTGGTGGTGGTGGTGGTGGTGATGATGGTGATGGTGATGATGACGAGGGTGGTGGTGGTGATGACAGGACTTCACAGGGTGGGTGTGAGACTTGAATGAGCTAATGCATACAATAGTCTTTACAGGGTGCTCATCACAGATAGCAGTGCCTAAAGATGACAGCTCTTATGACAATTACTGTCACCCAGAGACGAAAGTACTTGTCCATGGTCACAGAGCAGCAGGATCAGGTGACTAAACATCCCCACCATCCTTTTCCAGCTTGTCACGTAGTCAAAAAAATTAGAGTGTCAGAGAAATTGAATAAATGTTAGGATGCACACGACCCTGGATCAATACTGAACCCAATGTAGTGTTCCTCTGCTGGTGCTAGAGGTACATCTGACCCCCAGCCAGCCTCAGGGTCACCATTGTGGACAAGCCTCCCATTGTCTGGGAGAGTCAGTGGAGAAAATGGGGGCTCTGGGCTGAATCTGGACAGCACAGACACATGATAGCCATGTGCAGTTTAAAAGACACGGAGAGGCCCTGGGTAGGAACTTGTTTACAAGTCCCTTGACACATAAAAGAGGAGAAAGGGCAAACCAGGGCATCACTGGGGCTTTGCGGCTCAGCTGAGGACTCTAGGTAGAGGGCACAGCCTACACACAGGCCAGAGGTGAGAGGCGGTATGCAGTGTCCTGGTGACACCCCACCCTACTTCCCCTCACCCCACCCGCAATCGAGTCTCCACACAGCAGCCAGAAGGATCTTAAAAGGTAAATGAGATCATGTCAGTCCCTTCTCAGAACCCATCAATGGAGCTCCACTGCTCTTGGAATAAAATCCAAACACTTCTATAGCCCAGGAGGCCCTGCCCACCTCTCTATCCTCTTCCATCACCACACTCCAGCTAAGCTGGTTTTTTCTCCATCTCAGAGCCTCTGCACATGCTGTTCCCTCTGCCTGGAACACTGTTCCCCATTCTTCACATGGCTGGCTGCTCTTCATCCAGCAGGTCTCAGCTTCAATGTCACCTCCTCTGGGAGACCCTCTGACCACCTCCGCCTATTCTCTACCCTGGTCTTGTGTTTGCTTCCTTCCTGGCTCACATCACTGTGGGAAAGTACTTTATCTACTGCTTCACAAGATTTCTCTATAATTCTCCCACTTGAGTGAAGACAAGCGCAGATAAACTTGTCTCCCACTCAAGGGAAGATGAACTCAGGGAGGACAGGGGCCGCATCTGCCTGGTCACACCCCACTCCCAAGACCCTTCCATTGACCACGGCCTACACACAGTAGGTGCTCAGTACATGGCTATGGCTGGAGCCTAGCACGCCCAGGGGAGGGAAAGATGGAAGTAATTCCCTGGAGAGTTGTCTATTTCCCTTCTCCCCGCAACACATAAATTATAAGCTCTATGAAAAGGCATAAATTAAGTCTAACTTGTTCAGCATAGCACCCCAACACCTTGCCAGTGCCTGGCATCCCAGACGCCTGATAAATACCTGTTAAATACATGTTTTCATTCCAAGTATGCCAGGGTTTTCTGTAATCACACAGGAACAACAACATCCAGTGCGACGGTTTGGCCGCAGTGAATGGAATCACGGTGGATGTGACTCAGTTCCCCAAACACAACTCCCTAATGGCACAGAGTTGATAGAGATCTTAAATTAAATATACTCTAGACGTGGCTTATCTGACAACTGGAGAAAGGGGAGGATGGAAGAATCTTATCTCCTGTGTTAATTTCTCCCTCAACAGAGACATGAAAGCCTCCAAGAAGAACAGAAGATGCGCGGGGCCCCGGAGTCGGACTCTCAGGGTTCAGATGCCGGATGGAGTCATTTAAGCTCTCCGAGACATCGTGTTCTCTTCTGCAAAATGGGCACATGTGCAGTAAAGGATTAACTTTGCCCATAGGTTTGGCCCTTTGCCCCCAGCTTCTGGGGAGTAAATTCTAAGCCCTTGGACTGTTCTGCCCTGATAAGTGTCTTTATTTACCTGGGACCATGAGCTGCACCAGATAGTCTATGCTAAGGATGTCATTTATGGTGGGGGGCCTTGGACATGCGAGATCAGCTCAACCTCTGGAGGGGCTGGAGACTAAGGCCAGCCACACGGGTGGTCAGCCTGCCCACGTGACTGACTTACAGTAAAAATCTGGACGTCAAGGTTCAGGTGAGCTTCCCTGGTTGGCAATACTCTGTATGTTGTCACATGTCGTTGCTGGGAAAAGTTAGCGCTGTCCGCACAACTCCACTGGGAACGGACCACCGGAAGCTTGCACCTGGATCTCTTCTGGATGCTGCCGGTGCACCTCTTCCTCGGCTGATTTTAATCTGTATCCTTCACTGTAACGAACCATAACCGTGAGTGTAACGGCTTTTCTGAGTTCTATGAGTCCTTCTGGTGAATAATCAAACCTGAGGTGGTCTTGGGGACTCCTGGACCTTGCAGCACAATAACACACCTCCCTCATTGGGTATCAAGATGAAATGAGGGGCCCGGCCAGTGGCGTAGTGGTTAAGTTTGCATGCTCCACTTCGGCGGCCCGGGGTTCATGGGTTCGGATCCTGGGTGTGGACCTACACACCGCTCATCAAGCCATGCTGGGGTAGCATCCCACGTACAAAATAGTGGCAGAGTGCCACAGATGTTAGCTCAGCGACAATCTTCCTCAAGCAAAAAGAGGAAGATTGGCAACAGATGTTAGTTCAGGGCCAATCTTCCTCACCAAAAAAAGCCCAACAACGACAATAATAAACCAACAAAAACTTTAAAAAAAAAAAAAGAAAAGAAATGAGACAATGCGTGTAAATCCTCAGCACAGGGCCTGGCCTGGAATAAGTGCTCAACAAGTCTGGACTTCTCTGGTGTCTCCTGTTTGGCGTGGTGGCTAAGTGAGGAGACCCAAGCTTGCCTGCCTGGGCTGAAATCCCGGCGCTACCACACCCCGCTGTGGGACCTCACACTAAGCCTTTCCCCCTCTGGACCTTGGTTTCCTCCTCTAAAAGTCGTGCTGTCATAGAGATGAGCTACTGGACACGAATCCCTGAAGGCAGTCCTGGCACACGACCCACGCTCCCTGTGCTGGTTTTTATTATTGAAACAAGAGCTGAACTCTGAGTCAGAGGATCCCAGGCCCAGCTCTAATTCTGGTACCAGTCAGCCGCATGACCTCCAGCATTTGGCCTCCCAGAATCCCCTTTCGCTGTTGGGTGGCTGGCAGACTGAAATCCACGCTTCTGCAGAAGGCTCTCTCACTTCCGAAGTTACCCAATACCACCAGGTTTCTTATCAGTCTACTCGGCTGGGAAATGCCCGAAGCCTGATGCAAGACATAAAAACATGATTTATTTACCTGTCAGAAACGTCAAGCGCAGGGCTTGGCTGGTCCTTGTTTGACCTGAAGGGGAGGATCCGTGGGAACACCAGGTTGAACACAGACAAGACAGATGGCCTGCGGGAGAGGAGGGACAGGGAAGCAGGGTGGTATACAGCTGTATACCTATAATACAGCTGCTGCTGGTCTACCTTCCTTCGTTCAGTCCATTATATTTATTTGGAGTGCCCACCCTGTGCAGTGACCAGAACAGGGAAAGACCCACAAAAAACAAGTAAAGAAATAAATAGGGCCAGCCCTGTGGCGTTGTGGTTAAGTTCACATGCTCTGCTTCGGCAGCCCACATTCGCAGGTTCTGATCCCAGGCGTGGACCTATACCACTCATCAGCCACGCTGTGGCAGTGACCCACACACAAAATAGAGGAAGATTGGCACAGATGTTAGCTCAGGGCTAATCTTCCTCAAGCAAAAAAAAAAAAAGAAGAAAGAAAGAAAGTAATCTCAGATAATGATCCAGCTCTGAAGAAAACAGAGCAATGAGATATAAAGAGTTTGCATTGGAGAAGGTCAGTGTTAAAAGATAATTTTCAAAAAAGATAACATCACGACTCTCATACAGATAAAGAAAAATGAACCTATGTTAAAGATTTTATTTAACTCATTATTAATGAGGGAACCAGGCAGATGTTACAACCAGTTCAAAGGAGATATCAAAGAACAGATACATTTATAGAAGAGAAATGTTGAAATGAATTTGCAAATAGACACGGAACTGGCTTCTTCCGCAGTGGGGCATGGAAGTCAATTGAACTGCCCCTGACACAATTTATTTGCACTTCCAAAGCCAGGAATCATTTGCATTGCCATAGGTTCTCTACAAGTTACGACACTATAAAACAGCTCAGAGGCAATGAAAGACTGGATCAGATAGCAAGGAAGGGTGTCCTGTGAACAATGTAGTTTTCCAGTGGAGACATGCAGTCATCTTTTTTTGCTTATTCCAAATTTCCTTATGTCAGGTAAAACGTCGCTAAGAAGTGACATTTGAGCCAAGATGGTGTGTCAAGGAGTCCCATGCAGAGATCTGGGGAGGGGCATCCCCAGCAGAGGGCATAGTAGATGCAAAGATCCCCAAGTGGGGAATGAGTTTGGTGTGTTTAAGGAACCAAAAGAAGGTCAATGAGGCTGGGGCCAGTGACAAGGCAGCAAGTGGTGGGCACAAGGTGAGAAGAGCAGGCAGGGGCCAGAGAAAAAAGTGCAGACTGGGATTTTATCTTAAGCATGAAGGGAAGCCCTGGAGAACTCTGAGCAAGGAAGGGACAGGATCTCACTCAGGTTTTAAAAGAATCTTCCTGGCTGCCAAGGCTAGAGCGATTTAAAAATGACTGTAGGCAAGAACCTAAACTTAGGAAGAAATTCTCCTTAGGAGAGTTCAGGAAACAATCCTGGAGCCAGAAGCTGGGAAGAAGGACTGACAATAACAGGGCTCCTGCCTGCTGGCGGGAATGAGATGAACTAAACCACTTTGGGAACCTGATAGAATCTACTGAAACCAACATCTTCCTACCCTATGACCTCCAGCAATTCCACTCCAACAGACATGCGAGCACATGGGCACCAAAGACGTGGACAAGACTGTTCACTGCAGCACCATTACTTCCTAAAACTGGAAACTACTCCAATGCCCATCAATAGTAGAATGGATACAGTGGTTTATTCATCCAATGGACTCTTATACTGCAATAAAAAGGGATGAACTGCTGGTATGTGTAACAACACAGATGAATCACAGACACATTTTGCTGAGTGAAAGAAGCCCCCGACTTAGAAGAGTATATACTCTTTGATGGCGTTTACAGGAAGTTCAAAACAAACAAAACCAGCTCTTGGGTTTGGAAATCCACATAGTGGTTACTTTCTGCGAGGAAGACAAGAGTAATGAATGATTGAGAAGAAGCCCATGAAGGGCTTCCAAGGAGCTGATGTTCTATTTCTTGTCCTGGGTGGTAGCTACAGGAGTGTTTGCTTTGGAACAATGATTGAGCCATACACTAGAGCTGAAGAGAAAAACCATGAGGTGCTTTGAAATGGATCCCCAAATTACTAGGTTCCTTCAACAGAAAACTGGATGTTGTCTAGTGTACTCTTCAGGATTATTTTATTTTATGCAACTTTCATCGTCTTTGAGCTATTTTACAACTCTGTAAGTTGTTGAATACTGATAATAATGCAAATGATTCTTGTCCCGAAAAATGCACATGGTGTCCAGTGGAGTTGCAGTGGGTTACCAACCTATGGATATTGACCAATTTTGTATCTATTAAGCCAATTCATTCCAGCATTCCTGACTGCCAATACGTGTCCTCTCTTGAATTCTCCTTCAAACCGACTGTAACGTCTTACTGGTTCCCTCATTAGTTGAGTTAAATAAAATCTCTGACACGTGTTCATTTTATATTTGTATCAACGTCATGATTATACCCTTTTTAAAAAATTTTCCTTTAACAAGATCTCTCTGTTTTTCTGTATGTATGGTAGACTTCAATTAAAAAAAGTTAAATAAAAAGAGTTAAATTTTAAAGGGCAGGAAAGGGCGCTGCGGTTCTGTCTAAGGCTGCTATCATTGGCCCTTCAATTCCTGGATGGGACGGGGCCAGGCCAACTGCCAAGGCCCACAGTATCCCCAGGGCGGGTTGGCAAAGAATGACAGGATAATTTCCCTGGCCTGGAATCTGAGCCGGGCCTGCAGCCTTGGAGCCAGAGGAGCAGGAGGCTGCCCACTGCTAACTTCATTCACTGAATTCGGAAGCGAGAGCCGTGTCCCTCTCCTCGGGCAGGCTGGTCCCTGCTCCTCCCGCCTGCTGGTTGCTGAACCTGCTGCTGCCTTCCTCCGGTTCCCAGCAGGGGGGGAGCGCTATTATTATTTGATTAATTCACAAAACAAAGACCTGGCTTGGGCAACTGGGCTTGAAGTAAGGTTCTCCAAGGGTGAGTAAATCTGAAACTAGAGCAGAGGAATAAACCGGGGAAGGAGAAGTGGTTGTCTCTGACATTTAGCACCATCCTCGCCGGGAAATTCCTGCCTCTGCCCTTATATGAAGTAAAAACATGCAAAATCGACCTTGCAAGAGACCAGGGGCGGTGGGTGGGTGGTGGACAACTGTCCCTCCTTCAGTACCCGCTCCAATACTCCTCCTTGAGCTTCTGACCCCAATGAAGATTGACAAACTATTGGGAGAAAGATGTGGGTTTCGGTTTTGCCCCCTCACTTCTGCAACCCAGCTGAGGCGGCCCCTAACTTGCCCGTCCCAGCCTTGACACTCCATCCCCAAAGCTGATGCCCCCCCATTCCATGAGGAGTGGGCAGGCCCCCAGGACTGTGCGTGGTTGTGGGGGGACAGCGCCCAGGCCTCCTCCTCGCCCGCCCTCCCCCACTCAGCTTCATCACCTTCTGCCTTACAAACCCATAAAAGTCTGAAACAAAAGCCCTGCAGGGAACCGCCAAGCCCCCCCCACCCCCTCCACCCCCCGGGGAAGTGGCAACAGCCAGCTATTGTGGACATTCAACCAGCCCCTGGAGGCCTCACTTCCCACTCCCAAGAGCTTTCAAAGTATTTCTTAAAACGTGGATCTCAGCCTGGAAAGGAGGCAGCAACTGTGCTGCTAAGGAAAATGAGATTTTCTCCATATCCTCACAATTCAATATCTTGTGACCAGGACCCCTGTCCTTGGAAAACTAGAAATCAGGGGCCGGCCCGGTGGCT